TAATTTTCTGATATTGACTGAAATTTTAATTCAGACTTTCCGGGAAATTTCGGCTTTTGAAACAGCTGTCGATCACTTGAAATGAAACAACTCGATGAATTTGGGGTTAACCAGATATGTGCTGCTTTGAGTATCTCAAGAATATTAGGCAAGTTTCAATTGAATCTTTATGCGGCATAGGATATCAATATATTTACCACAGAAGGCCATTAAAGGGCCATAAACGATGCAATACATTCGAGATATGTTCAACATAAAGCGCCAATAAAGAGAGTGACAATTTTTATCAAAATATGGAATCAAAAATCCTGGAGATGACGCGATAAAGTATCGTCAGTAAAAACATCTCAATGTCGGTAATTGTTTTGGTGCATCAAACGTTCTCGGAGTTATTATTGCATGGAATTGAAACGATGAAATAAGTGATTGTGCAATACGTATTGCGTGTTTCACTGATTATTGATCAGATAAAATCATCATTTTGCATTGTATAATTTATTAGATCAATCAATCAACTGCATGCAAAACAAACTCGGCTATCAACCTCTATCAAAAAGCATGAGTTTGAGTGAAACGACCAGGAAAATATTCAAGATGAGGAATGAAGTGAAAACAACGGATTGGAAATGTCGCTATTATTAGTCATCATTTGCTTGAGATGTGTTCTGTTTTCCATGACGCTGAAATCGACGTCAGCAATCAAATTATATTGACATACGAACTGTGGGTATTTGACCGCGTTTTACAGTTCAGAGAATTGAGAAATTTTTTTTGAACCCTTTCGCTGCTATATTGTGAAATAAAGTGGGTTTTACGGTGACCATCGTCGATTGAAAGTTATTTTTGCTCTTTTCTGACAGTTTGGAATAGCTTTTTAGGTCATCATTTGCAGCACTCTGTTATTTGGAGTATGATGATGTATCGTCACCATTGAAAATTTTAGAATGAAGTGATTGGTTATCACTAACGACCGAAACGTCTTAATGAAATTACTATCGTTTTCTCTAGATAAGCGTTGAAGTCATATGATAATGACCGCAACAACTATCGAATATCATTTTACTGAGTCAGGTATTGATAGATTTCTATTCTTGACCATGAAAGTCAGTTTAATTTTAGCTCAACAAAGCAGAGATTTCCGTGGTTTTGCTCTTCTTTAAGACATGTTTTTTCATTGTATGAAAAATAAGCCAAGTACTGAAACGAGACTCAGTTCATTGAGTACTAAAAATAAACATCGACCATAAGGGCGATAACTGTGAGGATCATCAAGAATGGAATGAATATTGCCCTGCCGCGAATCGATTATGATGAGAAAGTGATTCTTTGGGAATAATCATACCCTCTTGCGGAGTCATCGTGTACGCTTGCAGAATTCTAAAGGATGCGATGCGAGTACGTTATGGTTTTTCTAGATATATTATATGCGTCCATACATTCATTTATTCAATACAGACATATTCAATTGTATGGTGAAAAATCGAGAACATATCAAAAATTATTGGTTACGTTTTTAGATGCGCATACGTATGAGAGATTTGCGAAACATGCTCATATGAAGTTGACCTTGATGTAATACTCATCAATCTTTCTTCATCCTCACAGAAGAAACCATTGAAATATGCGCTGATCTCAGCCACTCACTTTATACGGTAAGGACGTTTTGCTAATGTTTTGTGAAGTGGCAATCCTAACAATTATTATAACTCGTGAACAGTAATGAATTTTTAAACACGATCAAGGACTAGCCAAACGAGTACAATTGCAGCTATCGCTAAGGAGAGCGAGTGCTTTGTCGCAACACATTGGTAACAAAAATTGATCAGTCAAACATGGACAAAACTTAGCTGTGCGATGTCCATCAAATATCTTCATTGACGCATTTCGACGTTGTTGGGAACAATCGCATAAGCGAACTTCTTAAATGATATTCAGTTACGAACTGAGAGATTAATCTCCATCAACGATACTGTACACTCATCCAACGACACCTTCTCAAATTTATCGTTTTTATAACGATATTTGTTCTTCATTGAAACTTTGTTCGTTTTTGCTGTTAACTGTTTTTTGAATTCGTGATAGTATCTTTCGATGTGATTTGTTATGCGTTGAAATAAAGAGCATTTGTTTGTTCACACTTCGAAAATACTGATCACCTTTTCCAGTGGATTCATTCTTTTCGACCAAATATATAAGTGTTCAGGCAATGATGCTTGCAAAGAGCTTTTTTATAGGATCGGGAGACGAGAAAGAAGAGTTTCTTTTAGAGTATGTACGGGGAAGTTATTGGAATGTAACACAGTCCCAATGCTACCCTTCAGAATTTCGCAGAGCAATTGAGTCTCTGTGCGAATATCACAATGCCGATGAATGAAAACGCATAAAGTGAAAGTAGCAATGTGCGGATGGATCTGAAAGGATGTGCGATTTATCTGCATACAAACCACTAATTACAATAACCAGCCTCAGCAGCAAACATATTCACCGTTGCGGACGTTGTATTGTCGATATAACACTAAACCGGAAGTTTTGAATTGTGTTTCATATGAAGAGTATTGTACGAATTGAGCAAATAATGAATATGAAAACTTTTTGATGTGAATCGAAAGACAAAGAGAGAAATGGGGAGAAAACCAAGTGATAGAACATCCACACAAGATAGTTTAGCTGATTAGTGATGCTGATCTGATGGAGATTTTATGCAATTTAATTTAAATTACTCGTGTTTCTCGCATTTTGCTTTTCGCATAAGTAGGATGGTTTTGAATTCGCAAGTTTATGATGGTATTTGCCTCCAGAATTTCAGAAGGTTACAAAAATACAATCGAAAGAGTAAAATCAAAAATGAAACAGTAACTGAATGAGTGACTCTTTAAAGAAATGTGAAGTAGAAGAACATGGTTCGAAAATAAAACTATGAAGACGTGGGTGACTATAGNGTGTGAAGAAGTAACATAAAACGTTGTTTTATGCCGTTTTCCATTTCAATCGCCAACATAAAACATTTCACAAAACGACGAGCACTTTCTACTCAGAACCAAATCCATCAAACGATCAGCAGCAACAGTCTGTATGCTGTCTCAATTCGATCAAGCCGTCATCGTCGGTGGCGTTGAGACAACAGCAAGATGTGCCTCTGTGTGCAGGCAGCGTTTAGAACGCTACCAATCTTCTTCTAAGACCAGTTTTTCATAACGTACCTATCAATCTATCTCAGCATACGCATATATAGTTTAGTCATACCTGCACACATATTCCCTTCATTACCCTCAACTTTCAATGCAATATCTTAACATTCATGAATCAAATCTCACGAAAATGTTTCAAATTTTGTGATGAATCTCAAGAACGACCAACGATGATTTCTACTTGAACGATTAATCATAACTGAGATATAATCGTATTCAAAATGTCATTAAGGTGATTTAACTTCATCATGTGCATTTAGTTAATACTGCCAATATTTGTTGCTAGCGAACATCTCAAATACCTACTGATCTGAAGTACACCAAATAAAGATTGTGATTAGCGCGTAAACAACATAAAAGTACGAGCAACTCATGCAATCTTTTCCGTGTGATTAGCACTGAAAATGACCTTTCGATTTGCTTTTCGTTGTTTCTTTGTGAGCACATTATAACCATGAGCCTGAGTGCAAGCATATCGAATTCGGGGAAATTAACTCAACCAACTGTCAAATTGAGAAAAATACCCAACAAAATTATCTTGCTCTGGTTTGGGAGACTAAAATAGGAGTTTAAATAGTGTAAGATATTCGGTGTAAAACTGACGTCTATTACATAAGTTGAAGACGTATTCTAAAATAAGGTATCGTTGAACAGCGAAAACTTACGAACATATAATCGTCACAAGAATGCGTCTTTCAGAACGCAAAATTTTTGCCTGACATAAAAATGTGAAAGCGTTTCAGAGGTGGGCAGCGTTATCACTGCGTACTCAGTCGAGAATTTCACTCAATTTGCCATCAAAATAATGTTTTCTTGACTGTTAGTCAATAATCGAGGCTGATTTTTGGTGAATGATCTTCGACCTGAAGAACTGAGCTGACAAAAGGACAGTATGTGAGTAAGTGAATTATTTCAACGAGCATTCTAACAGTGTTCCTCGAAATAATGAATCGTTTTAGTGTTTCGGCTATGATCGAACATACAGTAAACGTCTGATGAGAGCGTAACGAGCGTTGAAAAGATAGCATATATTAGAGACAGATTACGTATGTTTGCTTATGATGCTTACGGAGCGCTAAGGCGTTTCAGTGCTTTGTTTGACACATTACCGTAGTTCAACTGCGTAAATGCATATACCAAAACGCGCTCTGATGGACTGGTGATTGGTTTCAGCTAGAATCGAGTAATCAAGACTGCTCAGTGCAAGTGCACGAATTGTTAGTATGAATCGTGGAATATGAATTCGTCTGAGTGAATAATTATGACATAGTTTGAATAGATAATGAAAATGTCATCACATAATAAAATAAGTTTGCATCAAAAACTGGTAAAATGAATCCACATTGAAAAACGAAGAGCTAAAAGAAGGAAGGAGAGTGTAATCGAAAGCGAATTGGATGCACTGAAGGTTAGTGAGAATGTTGTTCGACCTCGATTGTCATCATGTTTAGGGCAATCGCCCCCGACAAGGTTAGCCAACGGGGAAGCCCCTTCTTGAAGGTCTTTTTAGGGTCTTGAATTCCGGTGGGCATCCAGCTGAACGAGATTCGGATTGTATTGCTTTGAAACCTTGACCTATTGATACTGTCTCGACTCATAGTCGTTCTTTAGCATGACAATAATCAACTGTCACTGCATGGGGACACATGCATGTGATGAGAGAGTGTGGTTGATTGAGAGATACAAAGATTAGTAGGACATCACTGTAAATAGTGTGATGGAATGAAGAAAAAAGATTGCTGAGCCCTCCCCCAGGAGTTGAGCATGAACGCAAGTTGACCGATCAGAAGGTGGAGTGACGCGCAGCGTGAGATGGTCGCCATTGAAACGGCCTTGAAGCTGGACGAACTGAACTGTAAGCAGCAGCAGCAGCAGCAAGTCGACTTTGAGAATTGTCCGGTGTGTGGCGATCGTGTTTCTGGATATCACTATGGATTACTGACCTGTGAATCGTGTAAGGTATGTATCTCATCGAATGCCTTCTGTCTTAATCACTTCGCATCCATTTATGAAACGGGCTGTTTGCATAACAACAAGCTGCTACTGTTGTTATTCTCTTGTTGGAGACTGATACTGAACTGGAGCTGCATTCAGCGAGTTGTTTTAGAATTCGCAGCGTGAATGCTTTCGTGTGTGATGAATGATTTTATTCTGATGATGCGTTCATGACAATCAAATATGCTTTGTATTTATCGTGGCACATAGAAAAGGCTTATCGATCAGTGGAGAGTGGAAATTCTGCCTGATTTATCTAAGAAAATATTAGGGAGGGTGAGGGGAGGGAAAATTGCTTTGTTATCAGATACTTTTTAGATGTACTGATTCCTCTTTAAAATTTCTAGCATTTGAAATGACTGTCATTGATGGATGTGTCTAACAAGAAATGAACGCAACAGAATGTTGTCCTAGTTGCGATTGCCAGCATATTTATCACTAATTTCATGTCTATTTCAGGGTTTTTTCAAACGGACCGTGCAAAACAAGAAGGTCAGTTGTAATTATTTTTGAACAGTTCAGTCAGAAAACATTTGTTGAATTCATTTTTTTTCTTCTGTGAACTTTTGTTTCTAATTCAGTATAAATCAGAGAAATTAATGAGAAAAGTTTAAGAATTGTTGCCTGTTCGTTCCGGATTAAATCGTTTCTGAGCATTTATGTTCTGTTGTCTCAAATTGAAATTGCATTCGAAAGTTTCCTCCACAACTCTGATGACTATTGATACTTCTGATACACTACGTCGTCAGCAATTCGCAAGATATCCGTGCAATTTTAGCTTTGAAAAATGTACCTAGATGAGCGATCTCTTCCATTCATCGCAAATCCCTATATAAGCGATCTGATCAACATTCGTTTTCGTTCACTTCAAAAATAACACAGAAATCATCGACATACCAAAATTGATCGCAAGCAATGCTTCGTTGCTGAAAAATTGATCAGCATCAAATTCGTTTTCATTTGACATTTTTCATGCCGCTGCAATAAATTCGAAATGAGTGTTTCTCATCTTACTGTTCATCGAGAAAACTTAGTCCCATGCGACCTCCATCTCACTTTCAACTGCTCAGGAACGAATAGGCGGCACGTGTTCATAAATGGGCCTTCATCTCAGTTTCAATTGTTGATAAATGAGGTGCATGAAAGCATGCAGATTGCAATGAAAACCGCGTCCACTTTCAGTCTTATCAATGCTCTGCTGATCAAAATTGTGCTGTTGACAAATCATGTAGAAAACGATGTCCGCATTGCCGTTTTCAGAAGTGCATCCAACGGGGCATGAAAGTTGAAGGTATCATCTATTATTTTATCGTATTTTCCATCTTCTGAATTTTATTCTATTTTCTAACGATTATTATTCTTCGGTAATTTTTTAATGTTCTCGACTAAGCTCTTCTGACAAAGAAATACGATGAATGTCAGCGAAATTACATTGAAATGCTGTGCGCGAAAAACGCAAAAAGCCATCTTGCTAAGTTACGGATGTGTAAATGCTTTGAGAAATACATCTAACTTTGTGATGAGATAATTATCTGTGAGAATTCACTGGTTCTTGATAGCACTCCTAAAAGCAAAAAACCTTCGGTGTAAATTCATCACTTCTATAATACGCTTGAAAGTGTGAAATCGAATATGTTTCTGCTGTATTATGCGCTACCTAGACTTCACTCCAAAACGTCTTATCATTCGAAAATGTAAGACTCTACATATTGCTATAATTGGATTAGCGTGTGACATGGGAATATCAAAACCCCGATCAAACTAGCAATCATATAGTTCAAAGAATGGATGCAAGGAGCGATCGAGCTTCATTTCAGCAGCAAGCATGATATCTTTAATGATCGCTGTTGCTGTTGTTTCGTGATACTTGTAGGAGTGATCGGTCTGATTTATTGAATGACTGCATAACTCTTTCATGAACTGTGACGAAAATTCATCATCGCCAAGTATTTCACATACTTTAACTACTTTCACAATCATTATCAACGTCATCAATACAAACACACATACACACAGAGAACACCCACCAAATCTAATCATGAAACTACCAAACCGACTGGTACAGACTGTCACCAAGCATGCGTTCTTTTTTTCCGAATTCATTCCATCTTACTTCAATTCAGTTCAGTGTTGCAATTCATTATCCTCTCACCATGCAATGTACAGTACCAACCGCAGGACACGGACCAAACTGAAATGGAAATAATCAATTGAGAAAAATTTATTGGGGTGGTGCACCGCTGAAATTTTCAAGTGGTGAATACAATTTTTCTTTCAAGATGATTAGTGAAAAGAATGAGTGATTCATTCGGAATGTATGAATTCAACGAAATTTCGGCTTCATCAACCGAAAGTTTATGCTGGAATCAGATGCGTAAAAAATCATCTTCAAGCACTTAATGGGTTGCGATCTTTCCCTCCATTGTTGTCTCTCTTTGAGGTCATCTGCTATTAATCTCCATATTATCAATTATTTTAAGTGTTGAATTCCTCTTTTGATCCGAGGATGCAGTTGATTAAAGAGATTTTGAATATTGTGATGAATTTTCACACGGTGTTTTTCGAGTATTAAGATTATTTGCACGTCTCTATATGTTGCACCTGGTTTTATAAATGGTATTGAGTGGGAAGCAAGTCAAAAAGCAACCATCAAAGTGCTACATATGTCCTTTCCAAATATTTTTTCTCTACTAAAGACACGAAATTCTGGGTGAAGCGTCCCATGCAAAAAAGAAACCGGTCAGGAGAAAGAGCATTTCGAGCGGGATGGGATGTATGTACAATAAACAAGCACTCAACTAATATATTACTGCATGAAACGTCTACCTACTGAAAATACAACGACGATAATAACCATCTGATTTCGCACTTACTCGTTTACATTTGAGACACATATGGTGTCTACGNCACTTTGTTTCAACATATCGCCTTAATCATAATTCAAATTTAATTCCTTTCTTCAATTTCACCGATTTGAATTCACTCACCAAATCACGATTCAAATCGAAATTTGCTCAAAATCTCGTCATTTCTCTCTGAAACAGATTCAAGCAAATCATCACACGCCAATGCAAACGCATTTACATAAATACGCAGCATACAAATACAATCTCTTCTGTCTATCTACTCCGATCATTTTCCCCTATCTTACCATCTCATTCTCACACTCTCTCTCTTTATCAATCTCGTTTTCTGTTCGTCTTCATCTCCGACGAGTGTTTCAAACACTCTATTCGAAACGATCGTCACAGACCACCTCTTGGCTAGCTGATTGTCTGATTTCGCACGAATACTGTAAATACGATGCAAGATTATTACGACTATCTATCTAACCAGATTGTTGAATGCTCGAGAGCAAATACATCTCTTATAGTTACCGTATGCACCCCACGAAATTCGGTGTGGTTGAGATGTTGAGAACCTATTTGCAAACAGTTCTTTATTGCGTTTTCTAATACTTCACTTCACTGACAACGACACTCAACTTAAAAATCCATTTGTTTTCAAATACGGCGTCCAAGTTTCAAGTGTAAGAACTTGAGATAACAACTGACGTTACGATATGAAGCTTTGGTGTTGCTTGTTCAACCAGTCAAACATTGAAAAAATCACACACCAAGAAGTACCGCAACAATTGGACACGGTTCGAGTACCGAGTCATTATGAAATAGAGATTATGAAACAGAGTCCAGAGTTCAGGTAGTGATGAGAATAAGTCAAAACCGTCGCAATT